ATTTTATAAGTAAATTAATAATAAAAAAATTAAAAGTAAATATTAGTTATTTTAAACTTTTATAGCTGTCTTAGAATTTTATGGCTAACTAAGTAGAAAAGGGTCTACTTAGGTGCTAACGGGTACTCTGTATTTGCCTATCAACCCGTTCCTTCACAATACGTCAATAGTAATGTCAGCCTCGGAGGAGGTTCACTCAAGTGGAGTACTCGATGACCCACGACCGGTTAAGTTTATGTACATATGCAACCTATCAGCAAGCAATTATTTCTTGGAATTCAATATCACGAGTTGTCAAGTAAATTGCTTGGGAATTCTTCAGAGAATGTACAGACTACACCTGCCAACTGGTACGAGTTCGCGTGTCGCTCAATGTTGCCTGTCTTGCCACTGGGTTAGCACGTTTGAAGTAGCACGGAAGTTATTCTGCATATCGCGCACCCTGGGTTTGGTCGGGTCGGGTCCCCCTTGGCCGCCTAACCCAAAAAAGCCCATTCTGATTATATAAGCCAGGTGGCCCATTCTGCCCTCGTCACCACCGCCAGCCTGGCCAGCCAAGCTATGCACGTTATCAAGATCTAACTGCCAATAACAGCAACAAGCCCATATCCAACCGAGCACGGCAACTCATCGTTTTTATTGTGGCAGTTGGCACCGGGGAAAATATTTGTTGATTATCTTACTGCCTGCCTACTTATTGGAGCCTCCTTTGCCTGAAAAGCAAGCTGTTGTCATGGCCGAACGCAATGTCTCTCAGATTCTCGGGCAGCTCAAGCATTCTCCGTCCATGAGCTATCCTGAAGCAAATGCGCTTCTTTCCAAGGCCAAACTCGCCCTTCTGAGTCTAAATGCCCTCACCCCCAGCCAGTCGACGTCGCCTCAACTTCTGGCCCTCGCTCGCGAGACCTTTGAACAAGGCGCACTCTTCGCCATCAGAGCACGCAACCCAGAAGCCTTCACGCGTTATGTGCAACAACTTCAGCCTTTCTATGAGCTCCCCTCAGCGACTCTCCCACCGAACTTACCCGAACGAAATAAAGTGACTGGATTGAGCCTCCTTCTTCTCTTAACGCAAGGTCGCTACGCCGAATTTCACTCGGAGCTTGAAGGCCTTGCCAATCGCGATGGGGGAGGCAGTTCCGGAGATGTGGAAGGCGACCGGTACCTCGGATACCCTATCCGACTGGAAAGATGGCTGATGGAGGGCAGCTATGACCGAGTATGGAAGGCAATGAAGAGCAGTGAAGTGCCATGCGACGAATACGGCGTCTTCTCAGAGGTGAGTGCTCATGCGCAATATCTTGCCGATCCCTATGGTGTGATTGTGTCTAACAAAAGCAATCAACAGATTTTGAAGAACCAGATCAGGTCTGAAATCGCAAGCAGCAGTGAGCGCGCGTATCCAAGTCTGCCGATTAGCTCCACCAAATCTCTACTATTCCTGGACTCCGAAGGTGATGTGATTCAGTTTGCCAAGTACAGAGGCTGGGTGGTCAGAGATGGGCATATATACTTCCCAGATGCAGCAGACTCCGGTGAGGACAGCGGCCAGAGCAAGGACATCAGCCAGGTGATCATAGAAAACACGCTAGGATATGCTCGGGAATTAGAGACTATTGTGTAAATACTAGATGGAAGAACGAGAGTTCTCCTTTAGACTTTTGTAGGAATAGCGCAGGATGAAGATGAAGGGTATTTTATCCTGAAATTTGCCACGCGTTTAGGCAAAACTTGGATACCAGTCAGGCTGAGGAGTTCTTTCTCCAGCAGGAGCTATTTGGCCATTCTCCAATAAACCCAGAGCTGGGCTGGCCGAGGCCAGCAGTATAGAAATGTGAGGCCTTATGCCAAACCCCCTTGCTAATTAATTTCTATCTGTGACAGGTAGCATCATCATCGGGCCTGTCACCGCATCAATTATGTGTTGCTAATGAGAATAAAGTAGAAATACATTTTGCTCTTCCCTTGCCCATACCCCTGAGTTTTTAAGGTACTGGTTGATGAATGCTTCTTGCCTCCAAGCTTTTGGGAGCCCCGAGTTGACACAACGGTATTGCGCTCGATGAGTTGGACCTCCCTTGACATAACAACTTCCAGTTTCACATTGAGCTAGTATCGGAATTTCATGCTTTACCTGTAAATCTGCTAGTAGCAGCTAGTCTTTTCATTCTCGCAGCGAATTTTCTTTCTTTCTTGGTACTGCACTCGCTAGGTTTGCAATTCCTTGCTGCAATCTCCAATTTTGATGCCTTTTGAAGCCGCAATCTTCTAGATTTTTCAAGATTTCAAAATGGATCCCGTGTATGGACAATCAGTATTTTATTTTCTTATGAAGTATAGCTTGATTTGGCTTCTAGACCACCCCTATTTCTCTGCTGAAGACACCCTTTAGTCTTCGATCCCACACTGTTGCTTCGCATTGAAGTAATAGGCCTCGTCCTTTTCGCTACTACGTATACGAAACATCATTTTGTCTTGGGAGAAATGTCCCCCAACATCATTACTCATCTATGCAAATAGTTTCAACCCGCTGCCATGTTTGCCAACCTCGCAAATCTCACACACCCGGCAGACAGTTCCCTTGTATTTCGAGTGATATTTGGAGCCATCGAACGCGCACTCTTCGTACGACGTGCCGCTGTAAATTGGTGTAAGACTGGCAGCACAAACCTCGAATTCAGCAAATTGATCAAACTCAATGTCAATGGCGTCGTTCGGGTTTCTCTCGCATTGGGCTTTGGTTCTTCGGGCCTAGCAGAGTCGCATTCGTTAGTAAGACAAATACTAGGTAGGCATTGTGCTGTGATATCAACTTACATTTTCTACAATCTTTGTAGAGCCTCCGTTGGCAATAATTCGGTTGGCAAAGCTCAGGGCGGAATTGTAGTTCTTGCTTTTGACAGCTAGTTGCATGGCGCTGAGGAGTGCTAACTGCCGATGAGGTACCTCAATCTTAGGAATGGTGAAATACGCGGACAACTCTAGGCTCCTCTTTAGCTTCGCTGGATCCTGAGCCACAACATCTGCCGCTCCTAGACTCCGCCTGGCGAGCTCAATGTCCATGGCCACCGCATATTCACTCGCAGAGGTGATAAGCTTCTTCGCCTCAGCCACCTCAGCTTCGCTTGATACGGCATTTACTAGAATGGCATGCAAAATGCCTTTGAATACCTTGATGCCGTCTTCCAGCTTATTTGCCTTCATTGAATCATAACCTCTCTGAAGATCGTTGGTAGCGAGGTGCTCTAGATCTCGCGGAATAATGGGGAGAACTTGGCGAGGATCAGTTTCGTCGACCGTTCGTCGTACATAGTTGACCAAGGCTGGCAGGCCAGACGATGCAGGAAGGAAGCTTCTGGAAGCTTGATACACCTCCAAGAATCTGGACTTTAATGGTGCAAAGTGTACTGCTCCGACTTGCCTATTTAAGAGTTGCATGGCAGATTCAAAAGATCCTCCTGCTGCATGATCGACTGCAAGTGGAGAGTTTCGTGCCCACATGTCTGCCTCGCTACTACCTGCACCGCCAGCTTCGGTACTGTCCACGTTTACAAAGTCACTGTCGACCTCAGGGACATCGTCGTCGCCCATATCCCAGCCTGCGACATCTTCATCATCTTCCTCAGCCAGGCCGCCATTTCTTTTGAGTGCTGGGGCGCCATCACCCTCTTCATCAAGGACAAGTCGATCAGCTGTGGCTGGTTCATCCTCCAGAGAGAGACCCTCAACTTGACCCAGTAATGCCTTTTCAAAGAAGGACTGAGAGCTTGCTTTTGTAGGCCAGTTTGCCTTGAAGGTTGGCACACGAGGCTTAGGCGTACTCAAGGGTTCACCCAATTTTGGCATGGTCAGTTGGTCTTCCGTAGCCCCAGTAGCTTCCAAAATGGCCTGACATTCATCCTCCAGCCCGTTTGACTTCGCAGTCATATAAGCAAGAGGATCTGCGAACTGTTAGCATCGCGGTTTTCCTAAGGTATAACATGTTTTCACTTACAGAGGTCAATTTCCTTGAACATCTGAATCCGATCTTCAACATCACCCAAATACAGAGCGTTGTGGAATCGAGAAGTGAAATCTCCCCGATGTTCCGCGATTTTTGCCATCCTTGCCAACTTGGAGTGATCACCCGTAGCCAGGTACAAAAAGGACAATTTGTCAAACTGCTTCAGCTTCTGGTAGCACATTTCGACAATCTGATGATTTCCATGTGCAAGAGCCTCAGCACTTAATCGTGCCCAGAATTTCGGTTTATCTAATTCCTTCGCCATCTCAACAGCCACGTCCAGATTGCCGCATTCAATTGCTAAATCAAATCTAGTCGTTGGGTCCTGCACAAATTGCAATGCAATTTCAGGATAACCTTTCTTTTGTAGATATGAAATAATAGACTGTCCCACTAAGCTGGACGTACGGATGATGTGCAGCATTTCTTCATAATTCCGCTTGATTAACGCAAGTTTAAATCGGTACTCGGTCGGGTCAATCTGTAAGATTCGTGGTTTCGCGGCTCGGTCCAAGCAGTAGACATTGCGACCCTTGACTCGAACCAGGTATACAGTTTGATCTAAAGTCCGGACAATGCCATTATCCCCATTGAGCAGCGTGTACTTCACATGGTTCAATGTTGAGTATAAAAGCACCCCAGCATCATCCCATGTTGCGCTTTTGATCCGAATAGTTTCGTGTAGTGTACTAACTTGCTCAAGAGCTTTCGTGACAATCGTAACGTTGTGTTTGCTGAGAAGCGCAGCGTAAAGTCCGTCATTGGACCATACGACGTATTTCACGCCATTAACGGAAAGCTCAGCCGTGCTCTTCTTTTGCTGAATGTCATACAGATGCACGGCTGTTGGTGTTATAATGAGCAGATGGCCAGTCCCACCAAAATAGATATCACTGGTTCCGACAGGGGGCTTGAAGGAACGGGTGGTATTATTTGACAAATCCTTTATGTCAATGGTCTGGTTTGAAACATCAAGAACTGCAAAGCGATTTCTCGCAACGAAAATTGCAGAGTTGCCCAATCCTCGTTTTGCCTCGGTCGGCTCAATAACACCTGAGCCATCCTTGGGGAGGCTGACTAGTTCATAAGAACCCCCTTCCGCGGGAGTAGTAACAAGGACAGACCTCTCCGCAGGGTTGTAAGACAAGGTGCGAGGAGTTATCCATGGGCTGCCAAGCTTCTTCAGTGATAGAAGAGTTGGACTTTCGACATTCTTCTGAAAGTCGTAGGATTTGATATGTTTCTCCTTGGTGATGTAAAAGAGCATATTCTGGTGAGTCGCGGAAGCAGGCCGTTCGCGCTCCAGCTTGAAAACCATCACGCCATTATCATGGCCTGCAGCAAAAAGGTTGATTTCGGGGTGTGCTGCAATGACCCAAAATCGGTCATTTTCCCGCTTGAAAGATTGGACGGCAGTTCGTTTGTTCAAATCCCAGACTCGAATTGTTTTGTCCTCACCAGCTGAAAGAATTAAGTCCTGGTGGGGGTGGAACAAACAGCCAGAGGCGTTGTGGAAATGGCCTCTGCATGTGTCGACCTCCCATGCCTTGGTTTCGCTCATGCGCCAGAGCTTAACCAACCTGTCGTCTCCAGCAGAGACGATTAGTGGCATTGTGGGATGAAACGCGACCCAGTTGACTCCACGGTCGTGGCCTTCGAGTACAAATTTAACGACAGCATCGGTATTGCCGAACATGTCTGCCTGGTTCTGATTGGCACGCGCCATCTGATCTTCGAAGCTCATGGACGTAGGAGCAGAGTGCTTCTTCCGAAGGCCAGAAATATCCCAAACACGAACAGACTGATCAAGGGATGCGGAGACAACAAGGTCTTCTTTTGGATGAAATTGAGCGCACATGGTATAGTGATTGTGCCCAGTCATAGTACAGATTAAAGAGCGGTTCTGCCAGTTCCAGATACGAATAGTCTGGTCGTCTGAAGACGATAGAATCCATGGCAATTCATGGTGAAAAAAGACAGTGCGAACGTAATCAAGATGACCGTTCAAGGTGAACAGGCAACGTCGTGTCTGGTAGGACCAAACTTTAATCTTATAGTCATCGCCACCAGACACAAAGAGGGGTTGTGTCTTGTGGAAGTCCACTCCTCGAACGGGTCCATCATGTTCTTCGAATCGGTCGATAAGCGTGCCCATTCGGTAATCCCAGAGCTGGATGGTAGAGGAATGAAGTGCAACGAGGATCCATGGTCTGCCAAGCGGATTAGCCCCAGAGATCGTTTCCCGGGAAGCCTAACTAGAATACCTTTTAGGGTGAAACGCAATGCCTTTGGCCCTTGAAGACTTCGACTCAAACTGCCTCGTTGTAAGCGCGTTGAACAGGTTCCGATAGCCTTTGCAAGAAATACCTTGGTTAACATGCCAGGGGAGGACTGCATTTTGGCGGGGATAGGAAGCCGCAGCTTCGTGCCTTTAGGGAGAGTGACGCAGACGACAATGCTCCAAGATATTGATGAGAATGAGGATATATCAGCTATTCCCTGCTGCAATTAATTTGCTATGGTGACCGACGGGTCAGCATTAATATTCGTGTAGGCAGGGGATGTTGGACACTTCGAATACGGTGTGGTGTTGGCCTTACTCCTGGTAGGCAATTGAGCAT